GGTTCATCTGTCCGTAAGTTCTGTTATTTGTACTTACTTTTTAGAAAACTACATTGAACTTATTCATAAGGATGAAGTTGCCCTGCTTAAAATAAATTCTCCAGACTCCAAGGTTTGTGACTTTAAATTTATTTTAAGGTCAACGTACTATCCAGGGAACTTAGCCATCAGCTTACCTCTGCCTTGAGCAAAGCTCTCGGTCATTCATCTATTCGATCCGCAGTTATAATTTCAGGAAATCCTGAATGTTTTATTGCTGGAGCAGACATATCGATGCTTGCTGCTTGTAAATGTGAAGAAGAATTTTATAAGTTATCACGGTGTGATCTTGTTTATTTATATACTTAATTACCAGTTTGGATTTTATAAACCTCTATTCTTATGTTTTCCTTAATAGAGAGGCCCAGGAACAACTTTCTATTTTGGAACATTCTTCAAAGCCTGTCGTCGCAGCAATTATGGGTAGTTGTCTTGGAGGAGGATTAGAGTTAGCTCTCGCATGCCAGTACAGAATTGCTGTAAATGACAAGAAAACTGTTATAGGTTTGCCTGAAGTCAAACTTGGTATTCTTCCTGGGGCGGGTGGCATTCATCGTGTTCTCAAATTATCTAATAGCTATTTGGATGCAATTCAGTTTGTTCTCACTGGCAAAAATATTGATGCCAAGAAGGCTATGAAAAGTGGCTTGATTCATCATGTGGTTGAGCCATTAGGTCCTGGTATTGCTCCAGCCAAAGTGCGAACGCGCGATTATCTTGAGGAGGTGGCCATTGATGTGGCAAGGCAAGTACACATAATATGAGCTAGACGTATTACACTCTTGTAAATAATTCTATTTTTTTCAAAATAGGAAGCTAGCCAAAGGCGAGATGAAGAATATTGCTAAAAAGAAGACATTCTGGCAGAGTATGTTAGATTCTTTATTCACTGCCGCATTGCAGCTTACGATAATTTTCGTACTCCATAACAAATCTGTAACATTATTATGCTGTTTATTTTAGTCTGTATGGAATT